CATTTTTATTTGTTTATATTCTTGATATAGCTGTAGTTGTCCACAGTTATACCTTCATTGAATTTCTTTCTGCAACCCCTTGGGTATAGTCATTCCTTTCCTCAGCTCTTTGTATTGCTTCCAGAACTCTCTGAAGGGCTGGTTTTGTGGACATGCTTCCCGAATGCTGGCATTAAAGGCATGTACCACCATGCAGGCAAGTAAGTGCACCCATGTTGTGCAATGCCTGCGGAGAACACAATAGGGTGTCGGATCCCCTGGAACTGGAGTTACGGACAGTTGTTTGCTGCCATGTGGGTGCTGGGATTCAAACCCAGGTCTTCTGCAAGAACAGTCAGTGTTCTTAATTGCTGAGCCATCTCTCCAGCCCCAGGGTTTATGATTTTTAAAAAGTATTTATTAACTTAATTTTATGTAGGTAGGTACACTCGTGTCATTCAATGCCCGTGGAAGTCAGAAGAGGACATTGGATCCCTTGGAACTGGAGTTACCGATAGTTGTTAGCCACCATGTGGGTGATGGAAATCAAACCCAGGTCCTCTGCATGTCTTTTCAAGTTACCTGAAATGTGTGATGGTGTATGTCCCAGGATGGGAGTTCTCTGATATTTCTGGGTGTATGTCAGAGTTATGAAATGTGTGATCTGCTTCTGGGGGTATTTTTCAGCATGTGACTCTATCACGTAAATGTGAAGTAACATTTCATTAAGGGTTATATACTCACAAACAGGTCACAAATTTCAGTCTTGGGAGCATATGTATATAAAAATACCAAACATGAGGCTGGATCAATGGCTCAGCAGTTAAGAGTGTTGCTGCTCTTCCAAAGGACCAAACTTTCATTCCTGGCACCCACATCATCGGACGGCTCACAACTACTGCTAACTCCAGTTCTAGGGGATCCAACACCCTCTTATGGCCTCCATAGGCACCTACACACATGTGACACACATACACACAGACACAAACACATAAATAAAAATAAAATCTTAAAAAAAAATACCAGGTGCTTCACTTACCAGATACCCACTCACTCTGGAAAATAAACTGAAGAATAGACTTGAAAGTTTGTGAATATGTTGCAGGGTTTGAGGGCTCTGCTTTTTTTTTTCATGAGACATGGTCTGTGTTGCCAAGGTTGAGCCTGGAAGTTACAATCCTCTTGCCTCAGTCTCCCAGGTACTGGGATTCCATGCATGTACCATTATGCGTGCTTTTTAAAAGACAAGTGCTCATTAAGTAGCCCTGGATAGCCTGGAACTTTCTATGTAGAACAGGCTGGACTTGCCCTCACAAAGATCCTTCCACTTCTGCCTTCCACGTGCTGAGATTAATTAAAGATGTGCACCACCATGCCCAGCTGGCTCTGCTCTTTCTGTGAGTACATTTCGAGGTTGTTAGTACTGTCATCACAATTGTGAGGTGTATGGCTTGTTTGGGGTATAATTCTCTCCCTTCTTCATGGGTGTGTGCATCAATATAGAAAAGTATCTGATCTTTTGTTCTTTTGTTTATATTCCAGAGTGTGCTTGTTCTGGCATAGGAAGTATCTGGTATTTTTATGCTCTAGAGATTGAGAAGTATGGTCTATTTGTTGCTATATGGCCCTGAATGTTATTCCTCTGTTTGTGGGTATGTTTCCCAGCTTGAATGGTTTTTGCTCTTCTGTATGTCATAGGATGTGAGGTCTATGTTCTTTGGGGGCATGTGCTTCCTAGAATTTGAATTCTATGATCTGTTTTTACCAGTGTGTCACAAGGGGTGGTGTCTTTAATGTATGATGTGAGGGGGTGAGGTCTCTGACCTGTTTGCTGTGTGTCCACAATTTGAAGCATCTGAATTGATTTTTGCATCCAGCAAGTTCTCTGAATTATATTTTGAAATCTGCATCCTAAGTCTCAGAAGGATTTTTGAATCTCAGAGGGTTCTGAGCATTTTTTGATATGCATTACTTAGGTGAGTTCACTAAGGTGTTGGGATTATTGTATTTAAATTGTGAAGTCTCTAAGCTGTCTGGCTATGAATGTCCTAGGATGTGCGGCACCTAAGCTTTTATTTATTATTTTTATTTTATGTGTATGAGGGTTGTGCTGGATAGCTTTAGTGTCAACTTGACACACCTGGGTTGAGGGAGCCTCAGTTGGGGAATTTCCTCTATTGGACTGGCCTGTGGCCATGTCGGAGGGGCATCTTCTTGATGAGTGATGTGGGAGGGCTCAGCCCACTGTGGCCGTGCCACCCCTGGGCAGGTGGGCCTATGTTGCATAAGAAAGCAGGCTGATCAGGGGCCAGGGGAGCAAGCTAGTAAGCAGCGTTCCTCCATGGCCTGTACTCCAGCTCCTGCTTCCAGGTTCCTACCTTGGGCTCCCTGATGAACTACAACCTGGGGGATGTAAGCTGAATAAACCCTTTCCTCCCCAAGTTGGTAGTGGTCAGAGTATTCTGTCACAGCAATGAAGAACAAACTAGGACAAGTGTATTGCCTGTATCGATGTAAGTGCACCTGTGTCATGTAATGTCCTCAGAGGTCAGAGGAGGGTGTGAGTCCCCTGGAACTGGAGTTATGGACAGTTGTTAGGCGCCATGTAGGTGCTGGGAATCGAACCCGGTTTCTCTACAAGAGCAGTCAGTGCTCTTAACTGCTGAGTCATCTCTCCAGTCCCATTTAGCATGTTGTTAGGTGAGAAATCTCTGTACCTTTTGGGTGACACCCTCTTCTGACCTCTGTGGGCATTTCTCGACATGGATGCACTTATATACATGCATACAATATTCATACACATAAAAATAATATATTTTAAAAAATAAGCTGGGTGTGGTGGCGCACACTTTTATCCCAGCATGTGGAGGCCGAGGCAAGAGGATCTCTGTGAGTTCCAGGACAGCTGGGGCTACAGGGAGACCCTGTCTCAGACTAAATAAATAATTCACAAAGATCCACCTGCCTCTGCCTCCCCAGTGCTGGGATTAAAGGCGTGGTCTACCATGTCCAGCTATTATTATTTTTTATGTGTCTGCATGTATTGCCTGCATGTAGGTAAGTGCACCCGGGTCGTGCAATGCCCGAGGAGGACAGAAGAGGCTGTTGGATCCCCTGGAACTGGAGTTACAGACAGTTGTTAGCTGCTATGTGGGTGCTGGGATTCGAACCCAGGTCTTCTGCAAGAACAACCAGTGTTCTTAACCACTGAGCCATCTCTGCAGCCCCAAAACTTTTTAAAAAAGGAATGGTAAACTGGAGAGATTGGCTGCTACCTGCAGAATACCTGGTTCAAATCCCAGCACCCACATAGCAGCTGACAACTGTCCATATTTCCAGTTCTAGGGGATCCAACACCTCCTATGTCCTCCACAGGCACTGCATGACATGGATGCACTTACATACATGTAGGCAATACACACACACAAAATGTAAATCTTTTTTTTTTTTTTGGTCTATTTGAGACAGTGTCTCCTTGTAGCCCCAGCTGGCCTGAAACTTAATGTGTGTACCAGACTGGCCTCGAACTCACGGATATCCGCCTGCCTCTGCCTCCCAAGTGCTGGGACTACAGGTGTGCGCCACCACACACAGCTATAAATCTTTTTTCTTTTTTTTAAATGGTAAGATTCTGATCTGTTTGAGGTCAGTGTCCAGGCCACCTGGCCTCATAGTTTACTTGGGGGCTGTATCACAAGGTAGTGCCAAAGCTATGTAGGTTTGTGCCCAGAGTATGACGCTTCTAGCCGTTTGTGGAAAATAGTGTCTAAAAGCTATGAGTTGGTTTTTGGAAATCTGTGTCCAGGGTCAGGTACCAGAGTTGGGTTAGGGACATTGTTCTAGTATATGTAATTCCAGAGCCCTCTAGTGTCATGGTTGGGGTGCAAGATCTCTGCACTTTCTGGTAGTCTGAGGGTATGGAATCTCTGAACTGTTTGTCCATCTTTGTCCCAGTTTGTAGCCCTCTGAAAATAGGATTGTGCCCACAACTGTCTAGTCTCCGAGCTTTAGTGGGGGTTTATACCAGGTTTCCGGGTAATGGAGCTCTTTGGGCATATGGGTTATAAAGTATGAGTTCTGAAATGTTTGGTGGTCTATAGTAACTAAATTGTTTAAAAAATCTGTATCAGCCAGGCATGGTGGCACACGCCTTTAGTCTCAGCACTCTGGAGACAGAGCCAGGCAGATCTCTGTGAGTTCAAGGCCAGCCTGTTCTACATAGCTAGTGCCAGGTCATCTGGAGCTACAGGGAGACCCTGTCTCAAAGACAAAATTCAAGTAGCAGGCTATGGGGGTCAAAAATAGGAAGATTTGGGCTAGGTGTGGTGGTACATACCTTTAATCTCATCACATAAAATGCAGAGGCTGGCAGATCTTTGTGAGATCGAGGCCAGCCTGGTCTACATAGTGAGTTCCAGGCCAGCTGGGGCTACAGGAAGACCCTGTCCAAAAAACCCAGCAACAACAAAAAATAGGTTTACAGTCAGATGGTTTAGCCTTTTAGGCCACATTCTAGGACAACCTCAGCTCTTAGCTTCGGTTACCAAGATCTCAATCCTTCACACTTTAGTCCACAACGCAGTTTATTGATGTGTACTCCAGGCTGGGTAGGGCTGAGGGGTATAACAAGAGAACCAGATTCAGTCCATGCCTGAGAGTCAGCCTGGGGAGTGCAGGCAGAAACACACACACACACACACACACACACACACGCACACACGCGCACGCACACACACACACCACACAGATCTGGCATCAGTAGCAGGGTACACAGTCTCACACAGATAGGGGCACTCTGGGCACAGGTAGTCAGGAAAGGCTTCCAATAGACAGGAAGTGGGGAGAGCAGGGAGCAAGGCAGCCATCAGAACCTTCAATTTTGTACATTTCTAGGCAGTTACTTTTGAGACCAGTGGATCCAGGGTGAATGCAAAGGGCTTGGGGCTGACAAGTAACAGAGGCTTTGCTCTAACTTTACCGTATTATTCTAGTGAGTAAGTTCTCCCTAGCCATTTTTGGCCTGTATGTTGCCTTCTGCTACATGGGCTTTTTCCTGGGCTCCACCTCTGTGGTTTTTAAAGCTTCCCTGAGACAATCCATATGGACCAGGTGCTCTACCCAGTGCCTGGCACCTCTTCAGCTCTAATCAACACACATTACTGTTACTGTCCTAAGTGCTATCTATAGGCTATCTAGGTCTTGGTTCCAGCTTCCATAGTTCTGGCAGTCATCACACCCCAAGGCAGTGCTTCTAGCACACCCAGCACTCCAGAAAGCCTGGGACATTCTTTTCTTCCCAATGACAAAACTCTGCCCTAACTTTCCTGTGGGGCTGGCAGGGGCTGGCCAGTAGGCCACGGACATCCAGTCCATCCCCATTCCAGTGGCACTTGGACATCTACTTCTCAGATGAGCAACTCCGAAACACACTATGGGTCTTAAGGTCAATACTAGGCAGCATAACCCTTAGCCCCCCAGTTCAGGAGACTTTTTCTTTCACAAGTATAAAGGCTCTGTGAGTACAGATCCAGCTTTATGCTGGGCTGGTAGCTGTCTGAAGTCTGTCTGGGGGTTGCTTCCTCATATCCTTGGAGCAGTGAGGAAGACTTTAATAGACCACATAGGCTCCAAGCAGAAGCAGATACAAAAACAAAACAAAACATCTTAACTGGGTGTACACACTGAGGCAGGAGGACTGAGAGTTCAACACTAGCCTGAGCTATAGAGATGCTATCAAAAAAAAATCTTTCTGTTCAAGGGCCGAGTTGCTCACTCTTTGGACCTCTATGTGACATGAATCCCAATTCCAGAAAATCCTAACGTGAAAAATTTCTGAAAACGGAAATGGGGGCTGTAAGTGCAACCCCTAATGGGGCTGAGACAGGGGAAAAGAACACAGAAAGGGTACTGTCACTTTAGCCCTGACCCTGGAGCAAGTGGACCAGGTGGGGGCAGGTGGAGGCAAGCAAGGCTCTGACGGTCATTCTCGACAAGAGGGCAGCAGTAGCAGAGAGGCAGGTGGCTTCAGGCCCCTTCGGTGAGCCTGGCCTCAAGACTTCTCAGGGCTAGAAGAGGTATTTTCGGCAGGCAGCTGTCCCACATTTGCATTCAATACGGACCCGTTTCTTTGGGGAGCTGGGAAGCCCAGCCAGGCCAAAGTTGGAGTCCATGCGGGTACTCTCCATGTCGACGGGGTCTACTGTAGAAATCACAGACGGGGAAGGGGGGGGGGGACTTGTTAGAAGGCCTACATGAAAAATACAGCTACCTTTTATACCAGGAGACCCAGGGACCTTGGGGGTTAGAACCAGGTCTAGGATTTGCGTTCAAAGAGGATCTCTGGGATGGTGGTTTGGGGTAGAGCCAGAGCATAACGCTGGAGGGGTTGTTCAGGGTGAGGGTTAAAGGCTGTTGGGGAGGAAGAGGGCTGCTAGGGAAATAGGAAGGTCATGTTAGGCAGGCAGGGTTCAGAAATGGGGGGGGGCAACCTGGGCATCCAGAAGGCACCTAAACATCTGCCAAGTGTCTCAGAGGTGACTAATTTATCTAGAAGAGGACTGACTGGAGGACACAAAGGTATCTAGAGGCTCAGAACAAGGAAAGTGAAAGGTTAGAGCGGGGAGGGTCAGGGGTAGTTCAAGATGGAAGCATGGAGTGCCTTAACGCTCCAGCCAAACATCCTCCCACACAAGTCTTGAGAGAAACATACAAGTGTCTCAGGGTTAGGATTCAGGGGATGGGAATATGGGAGCCTCCAAGCTGCAGGCAGGGGTCCAGGTGGAAGGCTGGGAGTCAGAAAGAATATCTTAAAACTCTAGCAAAAGAATGGGTCCTCTGAATGATCCATGTGCCTTGGGGGAGGGGGAAAGTCCTCACATCCCATGTCATGGTGTGCCCTTGCCCCTGGGGCCCTTGCCACCCCCACCTTGCATGTTGTAATCAAAGGTGAGCTCCTCGCCTGCCCAGATGGTTCTTGTGGCAAAGAAAGCGATGCGGGGTAGGCGCTCATCAAGGTTGTCTATGAACACGTTGTACACCTGCAGGTTGGGATCACACTGGGCAAGAAAAACAGTGGCAGGGTGAGGAGGGACCCTGACCTGCCCTTCCCAACCCCCTGCCCACCTGCTGGGGGCACCCACACTATGGTTGACAAAGTGGGAGATGTTGCCATAATAGGCGGCATCCACAGTATATACGTCTTCCACGTAGTCCAGGTCAAAGAGGTAGGTGGCGCCCTGGCGGTCGTAGATCTGGCCCCGCCGCTCTGCCTCCTCTGAGGTAATAATCTGGGTAAGGGGGATAAGATTGGTCATGAAGGCTCAGGGAAGCCAGCCCCACTTGACTCTGGCCTGGCCCCTAGGAAGAGAAAAACAGTGAGCAGGAGGCACTCTGGCCATGAACACACAGGGGCAGTGTCCTCAGAGGGCTCCCCACTACCTACCCCTCAGGACTCTCTGGATGGCAGGAGGCAGCTTACAACAGTGGGGGGCTGGCTGCAAGGTGCAGTTACAGAGAAAAGAAGTGAGGAACTCCACCTTCTGCTGCCCAGTGAGATGTCCCAAAGTTTTATATGACTTGGGACAGAGAGAAGAAAAACAAGAGCAAGAGAGAATAAGAGCCAGGGTGCAAGGTGAAACAGACCCAAGGCAAGATGGCTAGAGACACAGTATAAGGGAAGAACAAGGGAGTGAGAGCCAGTTCAGGCCATGATGATGGCAAGGACATGGAGAATGTGGGAAATAAAGAGATCCAGGACAGTGGGGACAAGGGCTTTGAATGAATGGGAAAGGGGCCCAGACAGGAGAGCTAGAGGGAGAAACAAAAACACAGAATCTTAGTGCAAAAGACCAAGGTCCTCAGAGAAAATCTAAGGCCAATATCCTGGAGTCCTGAGACGGCCAGAAGGAGGCCTGGCCCAAAATTTTATGAGAAAATGACAGATAAAGGGAGAAGTAACAACAAGAAAAAAAATGAAGGAAAGGAAATCAAAGTAGAGATAAGCTTTCTGGTGCCAACACCTGGGGCTGGAGACAGCTGTAAGCACCTCCTCCCCAGTACTCCCATCCGAGTAAACATGAAGCTGCTCCACCATCTGTCCTTACCTTTGCTTCCCAAATGCTCTTGATGGATTCCACTTCACCCTCACTTGGCAGATTCTCCTCAGGCCCCCATATCTACTCATCTCCTAGGAACCGAAATTATAGCCTCTGTGGCTGACTAAGGGTCCTGCTATACCAAAGACTGCCATCTCCTTGGCCCAGGCAGTCCTCAAGGTAGTTCTAGCACTCTTCCCATCTGTCTACATCAAACATACATTGCCCATCTCCCTAATGACACTGGATACAAACCCATGTGGCCCAGTGACTATGCTCTTCTGCCTTCCAAATCTATCCCCTTCTGGGTGTGACCACCCTGTGTTCTCTAGCAAGAAGGCCACACTACTGTCCTGTACACTGCCTTTTCTGTCATCACCTCTAGCCTATGCCCTGTGCCAAGTCCTGATCAACAGTTGCCTCTATAAAACCCAGATTTCTCTCCATACCATACTGCTCAACCATCTCCTGCTCTAGCTCCATTTTTTTTTTTTGGTCTTTTTGAGACAGGGTCTCCCTGTAGCCCCAGCTGTCCTGGAACTCACTATGTAGACCAGGCTGGCCTTGAACTCAGAGATCCGCCTGCCTCTGCCTCCCGAGTGCTGGGACTAAAGGCGTGTGCCACCATGCCCGGCTTCCATTCTCTTTTTTACAACTTCTTTTTTGGTCTTTTTGAGACAGGGTCTGGCCTGGAACTATGTAGACCAGGCTGACCTTGAACTCACTGAGATCTGCCTGCCTCTGACTCCCAGGTGCTGGGATTAAAGGTGTGAGCCACCATGCCCAGCCATTCTCTTTTTTAATATTTTATATATCACTTTTATTTTGTGTGTATGAGTATACTGCAGTGTACTGCCTGCATGTGTGTCATGCCATGTCCACAGAGGTCAGAAGAGGGCATCAGATCCCCTGAACTGGAGTTAGGATGGTTTTTAGCCACCATATGGGTGCTGGGACTCAAACCCAGGTCCTCTGCAAGAGTAGTCAGTGCTCTTAACCACTGAACCAACTCTCCAGCCCTCTAGCCCTCTAGCTGGAACATGGCTCCCCCATTTACAATTTGTTCGTTCATTCACATATTCAGTAGATTTTTGGGTTTTTGATGCTGTGGACCAACTCAGAGCCTTATGTACACTAACCAAACACACTACCAACTGAGCCACCAGCCCACTGGAGGATTTTCACCGAGGACTGTGCCTAGATCCTGCTCACAAGAGTCACAGTCTGGGTGAGGGAAGACAACAAAGATGGAATCAGACATGCACAGAATAAGATGTTGTTCAGAGAACAGTGCTCAGAAAGACTTCAAGGGGAAAATTCAAAGGAGATATGTCCTAGGGCTAGAGAGATGGCTCAGCTGTTAAAGCCCTATCAGAGGACCTGAGTTTGGATCCTAGCACCAATATCAGGCTGCTCACAAATGGCTGTGACTCCAATTCCAAGGGATCAGATGCCCCTGGGCACTGGCACCTACACCCACACCGTAAAATAAATCTTTTTTTTTGTCTTTTTGAGACAGGATCCCCCTGTAGCCTCAGCTGGCCTGGAACTCACTATGTAGACTGCCTCTGCCTCCCAAGTGCTGAGACTGAAGACGTGCACCACCACGCCTGGCTAAAATAAATCTTTAAAAAATGACAAGACCTCCAAAGCAGGCTACAGGTCACAACAGGGCATTGCCATCATAAAGAGTAAAGCCTGTCTCCTGAAGGATGCAACAGCCACAGGCAGAGTATGCTGAGGTAGGTTCCACCTTGTGGTGTTGGCATGTGATGACTTAGAGCCTCCAGCCGTCCAGCCCCTCAGAAGCCAGCTGCCTCTCATTGAATACCAGCCCTAGTCTGAGCCACCTTTCTAATTGGAGTCCCTCCCCAAGCCAGGAAAAATGCCTACATCCTCCCCCACTCCATCTTTTTGCCTGTTCTGTCCCTACCTGCTCCCCCAGTTTCACCAGGATGAGTCATACCTCAAGCCCTCCAGGGCACAAACAGTCTTCCTTCTTCCCTCCCTTTCTTTCACCTTCCTTCCGTCCCACTCTGTAATGGATGTCCCACCCTGAATACTCAGGAACAGATTCATCCCTGTCCTTGTCCCTACTCTCTAGCAGCTCTCTAGAGTGTTAGGGAAGACAAAACAGCCTAGGACTTGGCAGCTTAGGGAGGCTGTTGATATGATAGAACTAGAAAACTAAAAGTCAGTGACTACTCTGCCCTCTACTGGGCGAGAGGTCCTGAATGTTTTCTCTATGAGCCTGTTTCCTCAGGAAGAAAAAAAGCCAGCAGGCCTGTCAGAGCACCACTTTTAGACGCTAAGTATTTCTACCACCTACTTCATTTTACTAGCTTTGTAATTTCAAGCAAGTTACTACACTGCACCGATCTGGGCCTCCATTTTCTCATCTATAGAATGGGAATGGCAGTGATTAAAAAGCCCAACCTGGAAGGGGCTGTTGTAAAGGCACAAGATCATGACTGTGACAAGTGTTCTGTGTTGGTTTTGCAATGACTGATTGACTACCATTACCTTGTCAAAAATCTAAGGAGTACCCTACCCTATTATGTATTTTTACCTAAGAACTAATGAAATGCTATACCATCAACTAATTAAAACTCACTTTCATTCCAAAATATGGAAAGAATGCATGTTTCAGAATGAATAAGATGTGCTAGCACTCTCTGTTGGATGAGGATAAAAATAATGTGCAGAAAACATGAAAGTCTGGACAAAACATGGAAGGGTACAAAGGAGCACTCACTACTGTTATAACCGTCCTGGCGCACGCCTTTAATTCCAGCAGAGGCACGTGGATCTCTGTAAGTTCAAGGCCAGCCTGGTCTACATAGTTGAGTTCCAGGCCATCTGGGGCTACAGGGAGACCCCCCCCAGAAAAAAACTGTCGGTGATGCCAAAGAGAAAGAATGGTCCATCAAGGATTGGGGATTATACTCTGAGTTACATAGCACCATGAAGGCTGGAATGTGGCTCAGTGGTAGAGCATTTGCCTAGCACGTGGGAGGCCCTGGGTCCTATCCTCAGCAGAGACAGATGCTGTATTTACAATAAAATAGTACCTTGAGAACATCTGAGACAGTGCCTTATAATTATGTAAATTAATATTTCTGTGATTAAATATATGACTATTCACCCCAAGTACAGAGACAATAAATAGGCCTTTATCAGATCAGGTTGAGATTTACAGCTAGAGGAGTTACAAAAAATAAAAAACCTCTTCACTTTCTGAACATTTTGAATTGCCTTACTTTTGAATTGTAGCACTAACACTTACCTGAGACTTACTGTGTAGAAATACTGTTCAAGCACCTCTTCCAAGTGCTTCATATGAATAGCTAAATGTTTCTAAGAGTCTTATGAAGTGAGCACTGTTATCATTCTTGTTTTCTGGATTAGGAAATGAGACAGAGAGGTGAAGTTGAAGGGCTGGTATACAACTTTGGGCAGCAGGCAGCCTCCAGGGCTGTGCTAACTCTTCAGAGGCCATGTGGGAAAATGAGTTTGGCTCTGATAGTGTTTGGGGGTCTGGCACCATCAGAAGAATCCATAGGTCTGAGGGTATCAGAGGAAGGCCTACAAGGTGCTAACCATGGCAAGACAGACCAAGAAATAACATGGAGAGCTGTATGAGAGAGGGAAAGGTGAGAGGCCCCTGGAAACCCTCGTATTTCCAGAGGGAAGGAGCAAGGATACTAAATTCAGGGGACTCTGAGGCTCTTCTTATGAGGTTCTGTGTGTACACAGCTTTTCCTCCACCATCAGGCAATACAATTAGGCTGACTTGCTTCCTGCTTGGGATGGCCTCTAGAAATGCTGGAATCCCAAGGCTATGGACACCTCCTTTCAGATGTCAGGTTATTGAGGATGTGGGTGCCCTCTACTACCTGTCAGGGTACTTGTAGATGTAAACTTGATCTCCAAACTGTCCAATCCTAATCCCTCTGGGGTGAAGACACTTATTTTCCCTGACTTTCAGAATGCCGTGAAGTCAGGGCTCTCTCGAGTAGAGAGAGCTCCAGATTCTGAGGATCCCTCCTCCTGCTATTGTCAGAAACCCTGTGAATGTGATACCTCCTTTCTGCTCCAAATTGCCTGGTCCTCTAACACATGGACATTTTCTCCAGGACATTTTCTCCTTGTCCAGACTGTTAGGGTACTCTGTGGTTTAGACTGTTCTACCTTGAGACTATCTCTGTCCCTCTGGGGTCTGACCCTTTGCTCTAGTTCCTCAGAGTGGGAGCTTGTACTTAACAATGTCACTGCTACAGTCAGACACCCTCAGATGTATCTTCAGGCCACTTATGATCACTTTCCAACGGTATAACATCCCTGAGGGATCTACGGAAATACATGGAGGTTGTCATTATGGCAAGGCACACTCAGGGATTTAGATGGTCAAGGTGCAGGGATGCTAAATCTCTCAAGGCAAGAGTTGTCTACATAAAAAAACTGCCTGGCCTCAAATGCCTACCATACCTGACCTGAGAATGTGATAACTTTCTGTTGCACATCTGCCAGTTTCTCATACCACAGTTTTTTTTTAAAAAACAAAACAAAACAAAACAAAACCCCAGGGTCTCCCTGTAGCCTCAGCTAGCCTAGAACTTGCTATGTAGATCAGGCTGGCTTCGATCTCAGAGACTGACCTGCCTCTGTCTTCTGAGTGCTGGGATTAAAGGCATGTGCCACTGCACTCAGCAACCCATGCCACTTCTGTTTTATACTTGGACAAAGTACACTCCTCACATCTCCCTGCAACTGAGGTAGGGGCTATGACTCCCAGCCAGCAGACAGTGGACACAAGTAGCACGTATTGCTTCCAGGCCTGACTAATTAGAACCTTCTCCTACAGTCCCCTACTAGGAAATGCTGAGGATCTGGTGGTGACCTGAAAGTTCTAAGATACAAGGAAGACTCAAGGAGGGAAGAAAAAAACTTAAGGAGGGAAGAAAGGCTATCCCTTGAAACACCCACACCAAGTGCTCATGTGCAAACTCCTAAACTAGGCATGATGGTGCATGCCTATAATCCCAGCAGCACCTGGGAGGGGGAAGCAGGATTGTTAAATTCAAAGCCAACCTGGGCTACAGCTTGAGACTCTGCCTCAAAACAAAGCAAGCTAACTCCTAATGTATGAAGCCACGAAGACCTGAAGATTGTCAATTACAAAAAACTAGCCTGCTTCATGGGCTACCTCACCTTTCCCCTCAGGGAAAGTAGCCTACATGCTACTAAATTCACTGTAATAAAATGACCCCTTAGCACAGGATAGGAAGAGGGTGTACCTTTTCAGGTGTTAGAGCCTTATGCTAACAGACCACATGACTTCTGACAGGCCTGCTGCCTAGAGCTCAGTTCTGTGCTTACGAAGCCAGCCATGGCCAGAAGCATGTCAGTATTTTTTTAGCTACTCACATGTGCCAGCTTAAAGTACTAACCCTTACCACAATGTCCCTAAGACCAACACCCTAGGTGTTTCTCACAAGGAAAGCAGGGGGAGTTTTAGGCACATGACAGGAGGCACACACACTTTGAACAGAGTGAGAAAAGCTGCATACACACACATACCCATCTCCTCACCTCTCCCACATACTCCATAACAAAGCTATTTTTTCGGATCTTTTCCAGTGTGCGGACACCCCAGCCACGCCCATCATCTGTGCGGAAGATGCAGAGGTCATAGCGGATGCCTTTCTGGACTACACGGTTGGGGCAGTCATGGCCACAGCGACAGCGGGAGTTGCACTCATAGATGGGCTGCCCAGCTCTCAGTCGCACTTGGCCTTTGTCATTGTAGGCAAACTTGTGCAGGGATGCTCCAGGGCAGCAGCCTCCGGTGGGTGCCAACAGACAGTCCTGACACTCACAACCAACAGCGACTTGGTTGAGGGTGATGCCCTCACCAACACGGTACTCGTTGATATATACAAAAGCCCGTGGAGGGCCATCCAGGTCCACCTCATTTTCTACAGTGATGCGTCCCAGGTGATTGCGCTTGGTATTGAGCTCTCGCTCCCAGTACTGAAGTGCTCGCCTCTGCTTGGCCTTCTGTACTAGGTAGCTGGCCAAGTTTGGGTCCAGATATCGTGGTGGCTTTGACCTGCGGTGCCTCCGGAGCAGTTCCTTTTCTAAGTCCTTGTGGAACTGCTTAAGAATGCGCACACATTTAAGATTCTGCCTTGGTTCCCAGGTGCTCTCTGAGTCAGGGTATCCACGCCACTTAACCAGGTAATACTCCTGCTCCTGTTGGGAGGTACAGGGACATAACACCAGTAAGTGCTGAGACCCTTGTGCCAATGGAGAACACTCACCCCACACCACTCTCTCTTGAACAGTTCTATGAGGGGATTCTAGAGTAAGGATTACTAGGTTCAACTCCCACCCTCCCCGTTACTATCTGTTGAAATTTCACTTCCCAAACTACTCCCTCCTCTGTCTTCCCCATGATGTATGTGCTTTCTTCCTAGCTGTTCACACCCAAACTCCTGGAGTTATTCTTGGCTCCTCTTTTGTTCGTACTCCCCACTAAATACATTAGGAAACTGACCCCTTCGTGCCATCAAACCATTGCCACTAGCACCACCACTGCAGCCAGCCTGGCCTCTGACAGGAGCCTCTTTACAGGTTCCCCTGCCTCTACTCTTGCCCCTACAGGTGGCTTTCTGTACTCCAGCCAGAGGAAGATTTAATTGTTGGGAGTAGGCTGCAGAACAAAGTTTAAATCTTCAATTTGTGACTCCCTGGATATGTTACCTTCAGCAAGTTATTTGACTATGCCATGATTCTGTTCCTCATATGTAAAGAAGAAAATATAAGTGGGGGCCAGGTGTGGTGGCACATGCCTTTAATCTCAGCACTTGGGGGGCAGACGGATCTCTGAGTTCAAGGCCAACCTGGTCTACATAGTGAGTTAAGAACAACAAAAAAGAGGAGGACACACACCTATAACCCCAGCACTCAAGAGACTGAAGCAGGAGGATTCTGAATTTGAGGCCAGTATGTGCTACACAGCAAAACCCCAACTGAAAATATAGAAAGAGATAAACACGAAAGGAAAGAGAAAACAGCTAACATTTTTCTAGCATTCATTATACAGCAGGTACTGAGCTGAGCAACTGACCCATCCTAGCAACTAATTCTTACAACTCTATGAGGTAGACATTACCAGTTCTCACCATTTTACAGACCAAGAAAATGAAGCTGCATTTCAAGCAAGCATGCTGCTTCTGGCATGCTCTGCTAACTATCCTGTCTTTACTTTCTCTGGCACTTCATCCTGCAGTGTCATGGTTACAGAAATTTCTGTGGGCATATTGGAAGTTAACTATTGTCATTTTCACCTCCACTCTTGCACTCAGCATCTCAATCTCTGCAACTGGTTTATATTTCCCAATGGGAAAAGATATTTATTTGGGGATACATTCTGTCTCCTGTCCCTCTGAGAAAGTCACTTCACTTCCCTACCCATAAAATGGAGATAAAGGGGGCTTATCCTATCCTCCCAGAATCAGAGGAGAACATCCTCTTTGTAAACAGGGGTGGGCAGCAGGGAGGGGGGCAAAAGCGCAGGAAGGCAACTTCCTTGAGAGGGGCTCCCTTCTAGGGCAGTCACCCCAGACTTACACGGATCTTCTTATAATCACAAAGGTATTCCACTTCAAAGTCATAGAGGTTCCTCTTAGAAATGCCAAGGGCAGGACAGGAAAGCTTGGCTAGCCGGCACAGATCCTGCAGCTGATTCCACGACGATTTACAGCACACACTGAAGCCTGGATTGAGAAGGGCTAAGAGTCAGGGAAAAGAATCCACAGGCCTTCCTCAAAGCTGAGACCCTTCTGCCACAGGAACATGCTAGTTCCTTAAACCCCAATCCTCAATGCCCAGGGCAACTCCTAGAGTAACAAGGCTGGAAGTGGGGCTTGGTGCACTGACTGTCCCTAAAGGAATCTACTCCCAGAGCTTCCAAGGCCTAAAAGTTCTTGCAAACCATCTTGGGTTCAAGACCTTATCACCTTTTTTCCTACTTTGCAAAAGACAGACAGCAGCCTTCCAGCTCAATGGGGGGTCGGTGAGATTAAAATTTCCAGGGTACCAAATAAGGGTATTAATTGTAAAGACTGGTCTTCAAGTCCCTTTACATGAAACTCCTGGGCTAGATGTTTTAGAATTTAAAAATTTGGAGTTTTACAAATGTTGTTTTAGGTATCCCATGTATTAAGGTCACAGTCCCAGCATGGTCTGGGGCATCAAGCCATAATCAAATCTATTAATAAATCTATAGCAAAAATATGAATTTTCCACATTAAATATCTTCACTGAACAGTCCCACTTTTAAACTGCTATGACTGGTGCCAGTTTTTAAGAAAAAGACTTCTAGAGCCGGGTGTGGTGGCGCACGCCTGTAGTCCCAGCACTTGGGAGGCAGAGGCAGGCGGATCTATGTGAGTTCAAGGCCAACCTGGGCTACATAGTGAGTTCCAGGACAGCTGGGACTACAGGAGACCCTGTTTCAAAAAGACCGAAAAAAAAAAAGAAAAAGACTTCTGTTTTCAGGGCTTTTTAGGTTTTGGAATTATAAAGATTGTAGAAAGACGTTATGTTACAGGCAGCTTCCTTGACTTAGTCTGGGGCATCTTACAAACCCAAGGTCTATTTTTCCAGGCTGCATTTTTACTTGCTACCTCATTCATATTTCTGTGAAAGGTAGAGCTCTATTCAGAGTTCTGCTCTGAATTCAAGAACATGTAAACAGTATACATGGTAAGTGGTATTGACTCTTTTAAATATACCAGGAATTATTCTAAGGCCACCAAGTTTTTATAGACAGATTAAAAATATGTACATTTCTGCTTCAGAGCGCTTTAGAAATGGCTTTAGAAGCCATTTTATCAAAAAATGTCACAAAACACTTGATGCACAGTGCATCCAGTCAACATCATATTTTCATCCTTTAAAAATGTTTAATATTTTCTACCTCTCATTACACAACTCAAACTTAAGCAATCCTAATGAAATACTCTAGATGTTAACCTAAATCATAACAAAATTATTATGCGTACACCCTTCCCTTACCCAAGGCCCAGAGGCGATTGAGCCCTCTCCTCCCAGGCCTCTCCCTTCCAAAGCCCTTAACTAGCGTTTGAAACCCCACCGAAGTATCCCCAACTAACATGTCCAGCTGCGGGCTGCGCAGTAGCCAGGGCTGGACTCTCCAACCTCCCATAGGTCCCGCTCACACTTGTGGAATCTATCCTCAGAGCCTTACTCACAGCAGAGAAGCCCGCCCAACAAGCACCGTCACCCCTCTTTCCCTGCACATGGAGGAGTCCGGTTCTGTCAGGGAGGCCCCATTCCCCCTTTTGAGGGGAATTTTCTACTCCCAATCCTGTCCCCAACTCGCTGAGCTCCCCTCCCACCTTGAGTCGCCTGTTCCCCCATCGTGAGAGAGGGGTCCGTTCCCCGTCTTCTTATGCTCCTTCCGGCGTCTCGCGTGGAAACCGAAAGGCTAACGGTCACGGGAGCGCTTTTTTTGCGCGCGGCTGCGGCTTCTTCGTCAAGCCCCCGTGCGTGGGCACGCCGGCTCGGCTACGCACGGCCGCAGACCCCCTGGCGTAGCCGGCAGAGCCCGCGCAGCCTCTGCAGCCCCGCGCCCCCCGCGGCCGAAGCACGCGCCCCCTCCCCTCAGCCCCGCCCAGCCCGCGCGCCGGGCCGCGCTCTCCAACCCCGTCCTTTCCGCGCCCGCCTTCCAGCTCCAGGCTCCGAGACTCCTGACGCCCGGGCCCGGAGCCGGCGACACCACCCCGCTAGCGTAATCGGCCCGGCCGACAGGCCTGCGCCTCTGCCGCCACTGCTTCACCTTTTAAATTTTCCGCCATCTTTCTCCACGGCTAACGATATTCAGGCCTAGCCGGCCTCGCGAGAAGAGAACGCGCGCGGGCGTGGCCGTGGACACGCAGCTTATTGGCCGTCTCTGGCCGCCAACAGCGCCTGCGCGGACCAACCGGTGAGCCGTGACCAGCCCCTCCCGCCTCCAGGATCCGTCTGACGACTGGCGTTCTGCAGCTTTTTCCCAGAGTGCGTCTGGGCAGCAGCCACCGGGGTAGTTGACGTTCCTTCGGGCCCTGCCCTGTCCGTCACACTATTAGCCAATCACATCCTCAGCCACTCGTAAAGGGGACTGTCTTTTCTGTCAGACTCACTATTATGTCCGTCAGGGTATTTTCACCTCAGGCAGGCGTTCGCTCCCAGGCGGACTAGCTAGCGCCGGATATAGCTGCTCAGCCAGTCACTTGATTCAAATAAATAATGAGTTAGTCGCCTCAGTCAGGTGTCCAGACCCCTTCCTCATTCCCACTGTACGTCGGTCAATAGCAGCACCTATCTATGCCCTCCAGCTAGCTGAAGCACTGTCTCTGTGCTGTTAGCCAGCCTGCCATTACAGCAATCTGTCCTTGTCACATTGTCGGCCTACCTCTGAAGGAAACCTCATAAGCCACAGCATCCAGCTCTGTCCTCAGGTAGACTATGGTTCACTGGAGTACTCATTTACACCGTGATTGATCAGCCTCAACACCTAACTAGGTCCTCATAACAGGGGTATGATGGGGCCTGGAGAGATGGCTGCTCTTGCAGAAGACCTGGGTTTAGTTCCCAGCATCCACATGGTGTCTAACAACCGTCAGTAACTCCAGTTCCAGGGGATCCGACGCCCTTTTCCGACCTCTGGAGGCATTGCAAAACACAGGGTGCACTTATACACATAAAATTTTAAAAACTTTTTTTTTGGTCTTTTTTGAGACAGGGTCTCCCTGTAGCCCCAGCTGTCCTGGAACTCACTATGTAGACCAGGCTGGCCTTGAACTCACAGAGATCCGCCTGCCTCTGCCTCCCAGGTGCTGAGACTACAGGCATGCTCCACCACGCCCGGCTAAAAACTATTTTTGAAAAAGACAAATCCAGGGCTGGAGAGATGGCTCACCGGTTAAGAACACTAGTTCTTACAGAAGACGCGGGTTCTAATCCCAGCACCCACATGGCAGCTAACAACTCCAGTCCCAGGGGATCTGACAGCCTCTTCTGACCTCCACGGGCATTGCATGACATGGAGCACTTACCTACATGCAGGTAATACACGCATACACATAAAATTAAAAAGAAAAGACACAAAATCAGACAGCTTATTTTTTTTTAAAAAAAAAAGACAAATCCAGGATTGCACGAAGTGCAATTTACTACAGATTTACAGACCAAAGCATGTCTTGAGCATCAGAAAGACAGAAGAAACACAGGAGAAACTACACTGTAAGGTGGGAGGAAGGGATTTATATGCAAGGCAAAGTTTAGTTCAGTCCATCAACTATTACTCTAAAAACCATCATATTGTTAAAAAACAATCTGGAAGCCAGGTGTGGTGGGTGACACACTCCTTTAATCCCAGCACTCGGGCGTCAGAGGCAGGCAAATCTCTGTAAGATCCAGGCCAGCCTGGTCTATGTAGAGTTCCAGGCCAGCTGGGAATACAGGGAGACCCTGTCTCAAAAAGACCACACACACAAAACAATCTGGGCATCAGTAATTAGCATGAAATGCTTGCCTGACTTACCTTAATGGCTTTGTTTACCCTATAGAGTTTTGGATGTATACCAGTGTACCGAGGTTGTGTGCCTCACCGCCAGTGATGTTGTGACTAAAATGGCTGACATCATGTCAAGCTGCATTCCTACAAGATGTCTCTTATTTCTCATCCCCACTATGGGCCAGCCAGTCAATATCTTTTCATGTGTTGGTTCCCTCAGAGAGACTCAGAATCTTTTAGGCAGACAGTCTAACCATATGCAGCCAAAGAGGTAAGTTCACCAATGGTGCTGTTGGTCTGCCAGCCTGTGACTCATTCAGTCTGCCTTTCATCATGTTGTCAGTCAACTAGGTAGTCAGTCATTCTCAGTATCCCACTGACCATACTACCTGTGGGGTGATCAGTTAGTCAGAGACATCATTATTGTATGATTCAGTCAGGATGGACAAGCAGCCACCAGAAATAGTTGCCTAGTAGACAGCCACAGGTTAGCTCTTCTGTTAGCACACCTAAGTTCATTTACTCACCACTGGAAAAGGCCAATGACTCAATGGGCAAGTTGAGAGCAAGGAAAAAGATGTATTTGGAAAGAAACCAAAAAAGATGGGAGGCTATCATCAACTTGCTTAGGGGCTGCATATGTAAGGCTGCCTAGGGATTAAAGGGAAGTAGTTTTTTGGTCTGAGGAGGACTGAGGCAGTGGTAAATTCCACGGTGGCCTGCTTTTCTGACACATAGGTTGTTATTGTCTGAAGGTTATTTGATGTTCTGGATTCTATAAATCTAAAGAAAAGTTACTGATTACCGAGTTTTCTGACTCAGGTCTTTGTATCAGGAAGTTACTTAACCTTGCAATTTAAGATACAGAACAGGGGAGGAGAGCACAAAGCAGCTCTTGCCAGAGAACAATTTTAACCGATTAGGCAGCTTCACTCAGAGGTATTATCTAGTGGGAAACTAATAATGTATTGTTCAGCTGCATGACCTCCAAAATTAGTAATTTTTAAAGTCAGCAGAAAACAAACAAAGCTAGAGTTTCTTCAGTTTTCTCCTAGCTGTACTCTTACACTTGGGCAGACAGTATCACATTCTCTCAGGCCAGGTCTGATTCCTACAAATAGCCATTCACAACATCTGGCCACCCTGGCCAGCAGCAGTGCCATGGAACATTAGTGAACCAACTTCTAAGGTTCTCAGGAGCCTACCTGCCACCACTGCCGGCCACTTGCTCCAGCCAGTGCAGGCAGGCTGTCATCCAGTTGGCCATTCAGTGCCTCACAGCATCCAAAACCTGCACCATCAGTTCCTCAGACTGTCCTCTCTTTCTCACTCCATGAGTTACACACTCAACCAAAGGATCGTACAGTTAACATAGTGGATATTCTGCCTGCCTACAAATCCAGCTGTGAGCTGGTCAGTCTGAGGGTCCATCAATCTCTGCTTGCCATGAATAGCAGTCAATAGCATTAACATGCACTATATAACCCTATAACCCTCTCCTCTTATTCCTTCTAGAATAGTAAGACGATGGACCTCACAAGCTCTCAGTTTCCCTGGCAGGCAAGACCTTCCCACTCACAGGAGTTCATAAAAATGGTTTAAGATATGTCTTCTGACTGCCTATATCTAAAGGGGGTGGTACAAGGTTCTGTGCATGGTGGGCAGCAGCCCTTGGTCCTACCCAAATAGCATAGTAATAAGGTAGCTGTAAAAACTTGGATTCTATGCCGGGCATGGTGGCACACACCTTTAATCCCAGCACTTGGGAGGCAGAGGCAGGCGGATCTCTGTGAGTTCAAGGCCAGCCTGGTCTACATAGTGAGTTCCAGGGGCTACAGGGAGACCCTGTCTCAAAAAGACCAAAAAAAAAAAGTCATCTGTTATTCCCAACCATGTATCTGTTCATTCAGCACTAATGAAGCACCTACTGTGTACACTACCTTGCCCAATGATGGCACCAAGGCAAAGTTTTATCCATTGCAAGCCACATAGGTCGGACATGTTTTGTTGTAAACTTCGTATTGAAGTGTAGCATATGTGATGAAGGCTACACAGACCATGGAGCACAGTGTAATGAGTTTCCACAAGAAAACATACACATAGAAACAATGCAGTATGAGAAATAACATCACCAGAAAGGGCTCAAGAAGCATTTAATTTCTTATCATCTCTGAAATCAGCCTACATCTTACAAGTCCTGGTGAATCATAACTGAAATGGCAAAACCTGTTTTTCTTAGTGGTACATTTTAAAATCAATGCCAAGTCAATAAAATCCAATACTAACAATAATAACACAACTATGATGCTAAACGGCTATCCTTTATCGATGTCTACAAGCACCCAGGGACTTTGCAAACTTCATGTAATTGATTCTCATTACAGCCCTGGTTGGAAAGCTGAGGAAACTAATGCCCAGAGCTCTGCCAATTTTTCTTTCTCTTTTCTTCTCTTTCTCAATGCTGAAAATCAAACTCAGGGCCTCATGCATGCTAGGCAAGCACCGGAACACTAAGGTACACTTCTAGCTCCTAGATCAATTCTTTTACCTTAGGTCTGCACCTCCTCTAACTAGGCTCACTGGCACTGACAAGGTGAGCTTTGGGACGTCTTTTCCAAGACAAAGCCTACGGAAGGGGTCTCAGAACACCAGATTTTTAGGGTATGTGTGGGTGACTGACATGCGGAATAGGTGATACTGACAGGTGCTTCCTAAACCCAGTGCCTAGCTGCCTGCCCAGGACCTGCCTGGGGTGGGGAGTGGAGTGGGGGTGAGGAATCATAAAAGAAATTAGGAAACCCTCAGAGTCACTCCTTCACTAACTAGCAGAAAAAATTTCCCTTTCTCAGGCAATCCCTAAGGGGTGAATGCAGTGCACACCCCCAGTTTCCTCCTCACCACTCCCTCTGAGGCTTTCTCCTCCCTCCCCCAATCCTCTCCTACCCCACCTCCCATTCAGAAATTCTTCCTCTGATCTGAAGATTAAGAAATCTACCACCTCTGGATGCTTCCATAAAGTGTAATTCTTTTACTTTGGGTAAAAGAACTATCTATAAGAGCTAGGGATAGCCGGGCGTGGTGGTGCATGCCTATAGTCCCAGCACTTGGGAGGCAGAGGCAGGTGGATCTCTGTGAGTTCAAGGCCAGCCTGGTCTACATAGTGAGTTCCAGGATAGCTAGGGGTACAGGGAGACCCTGTTTCAAATAAGACCAAAAAAAATAGCTAGGGGTGTAGTTGGGTGGCAGAGTGCTTGGCTAGCATGAATGAACTCCTGGGCTTCATCTCCAGCACCACACAAAAACAGTTGACTGTCAGCAAGTCTCTTGACCTCTTTAGACCAGCTTCCCTTGGCCTTATCTTCCTCCCCTCTTCCCTCCTGCTCCTTCTCAGGTACATATCTGAGATCTTGAACTTACCAGCTTTCACAAATAAAAAGGGGCTGGGCGTGGTGGCGCATGCCTTTAACTTGGGAGGCAGAGGCAGGCGGATCTCTGTGAGTTCAAGTCCAGCCTGGTTTACATAGTGAGTTCCAGGATAGCTGGGGCTACAGGGAGACCCTGTCTCAAAAAGACAAAAAAGAAAAAGAAATAAAAAGGGGCAGAGATTTGGATCCTAGGCTTTAATGTGCAAACATATCTACTCCCTTGGAAACTTTTTTTTTTTTTTTTGGTCTTTTTGAGACAGAGTCTCCCTGTAGCCACAGCTGGCCTGGATTCACTTTGAAGACCAGGCTGGCCTCAAATTCACAGAGACACCCCCCCCTCCACCCCTGCCTCTGCCTCATGAGTGCTGGGATTGAAGTCGTGCACTACCACACCCGGCTCCTTGGAAATAATTTTAAACACTAGGGACAGTTTTGAGTTGCTCTTTTTTTCCTGGAAAAATGTGGAAAAGCGTTGTGAAGTGGCAGCAGTGCAATCCTAGTTGGTAATCAGTAACATATTGTTATTTTCATTGCATCACTTAGGAAACTGAGGGTGGGGTAAGGTACTTTACCTGGATTCTAGAGCATATTGGGCTCAGTTTGTTCTGGGCAGAGGCAAAATTTACAGTTGAGAGGGGGATCCTGTCAGTCAGATTCAGAATCTTGGTGTGTGTGTGTGTGTGTGTGTGTGTGTGTGTGTGTGTGTGTGTAGGGTGGGGTGGGGTCTGCTCTTTGGGTTATCTTCATCTCATATTGCATTGATTTAAAAAATATTTAAAAGTCAGGCATCGGCTGGAGAGACGGCTCAGTGGTTAAGAGCAATCAATGGCTTCTCTTGCAGAGACCCTGACCTGTTCTAGCTCCCACAAGGTGAATAACAATCATCCATAACTCCACTTCCAGGGGATCTGACACCCTCTTCTGGTCCCCATGGACATGCATGTGGTGCTTACACGCAGGCAAAATATTCATGCACATAAAATAAAAATAAATAATTTAAGCCAGGCATGGTAGCCTATGCCTGTAATCCCAGCACTACAGAGATTGAGGCAGAAGGATCAGGAGTTCAAGGCCAGCCTGGGCTATATAGCAAGCCCAAGAAACCCAAGGTCATTGTGGCCTACATGAAGCTCTGTCTTAAAACAGCAAAACAAGGGCCAGGCTTGGTGGCCCAGCACACAGGAGGCAGAGGCAGACAGATCTCTGTGAGTTGGAGGCCAGCCTGGTTTACACGGTGAGTTCCAGGCTAGCTAGAGCCTCATAGTGAGACCCTGTCTCAAAAAAAACATAAAACCTAAAACAACAGAAGAGGGAGGGAGAGAGAGGGAGAGGGAGAAGGAGGGAAGGAGGAAGGGAGAGAAAGAGATTGAGAACAAATTAGTAAATAAATGACTCTCCTGCTAAGGCCACCGTCATGCCTTGTTTCGTGCCACTTTAGGGCTTCTATATCAACTATCTTCCAATCTTGAATGCCTTTCCCTGGCCTAGCCTTCTCTTCCTTCAGATCCAGCACATCTGTCACCTTTTCCAAAGCAGGCTTCCCTGATTGCTCCTTTGGAATGTTGGTTTGCCTTTTATCTCTGCCTCAGCACTCCATAGTGCTGACCATGACATGTATCTTTCTCATTCCTTGTCTCTAATCCCCTAGAACATGCATTCCATCCTACCCCCTAAAACAATGCCTGGCAGTTAATGTTTGTGTAAAGACAAAGAACAGAAGGAAAACACAGGGTAGTAGTGGGGAGATGGTTGGGACAATATAGTGCCCACGGCACAAGCATGAGGACCTGAGTTTAATCCTGAGCCCCTGTATAAAAAGCCAGGTACTGAGAGTCATACCTATAATCACAGCACTGGGGAGAACAAAGACAGGAAGATCTTAGGGCTTGCTGGCCAGCCAGTCTAGCTGAATTGGTGAGCTCCAGGTTCAGGGAGAGACCTTGTCTCAAAGATAAAGGTGAAAAGTGGGGCTGGAGGGGGGCTATAGATGCAGCTCAATGGTTAAGAGCATGTACTGCTCTTGCAGAGGACCCAAGTTCAGTCCACAGCACTCACATCAAGGCAGCTCACAACCACCTATAACTCCAATTTCGGGGGAATCTGATGCCACTGGCTTTGGTGGGCACCTGCACTCACATGCACATATCCACAACAGGAACACACACACATAAAAATACACATAATAAAAAATAATAAAAGTAGCCAGGCGTGATGGTGCACGCCTGTAGTCCCAGCCCTTGGGAGGCAGAGACAGGCAGATCTCTGAGTGTTCAAGGCCAGCCTGGTCTACATAGTGAGTTCAAGGCCAGCTGTTGTTGTTTTTGAGACGGTCTCCCTGTAGCCTCAGCTGACCTGGAATTTACTATTTAGATCAGGCTGGCCTCGATTTCATAGAGATCCTCCTGCCTCTGCCTCCCAAGTGCTGGGATTAAAGGTATGTGCCACCATGCCTGGCTATAAAAATAAATCTTAAAAAATAAAAGGTGGAGATCAATTGACATTAGACATCAACCTCTGGCCTACACACAACACACAACATACACACACACACCTCCACACACATGTGCATACATATATTTTTTTAAAAAAAAGAGAGGCTGGAGAGATGGCTCAGTGGTTAAGAACACTGAGTGTTCTTACAGAAGACCCGGGTTTGAATCCCAGCACCCACATGGCAGCTAACAACTGTCAGTAACTCCAGTTCCAGGGTATCTGACAGCCTCTTCTGTCCTCCTTGGGCATTGCAAGACACAGGTGCACTTACCTACATGCAGGCATAACACTCATACACATAAAATAAAAATAATAAAATATTAAATAAAAGAAAAGAAATAGAGGAAAGCTAGATGTGGTGGCTCATACCTAGAGTCCTAGCTACTCAGATTGCTGAGGCAGGAGGGTCAGTTGAATCCAAGAGTTTGAGGGTAGCCTGGGAAACACATAATGAGACCCTGTCTAAATCCCTTTTCCCAAAATAATAAAACAAATTTTTGAGACAGGGTCTCACTATGTAGCCCCAGCTGGCCTAGAACTCACAATGAGTCCCCTGCCTCTTCCTTCCAAATTCTGGGAATTAAAGGTATGTGCCACCTTTGCCTGGCTAACAATAAAAAATTTAAAAACCTGTTAACACCATTAAAAAAAAACTAAAAGGGAAAAAAGAAAAAGAAATACAAGCCAAATGACCTGAAAACATAAAGGAGTGAATTAATATACACATGAAAGGCTAAATAAAATGAGATACATGCACAAAAAGGGCTATGGGGGGCTGAAGAGATGGCTCAGCCGTTAAGAGCACTGGTTGTTCTTGCAGAGGACCTGGGTTCAATTCCCAGCACCCACACGGCAGCTAACAACTGTCCTAACTCCAGTTCTAGGAGAGCCAGCGCCCTCTTCTGACAAGCATTGCACGACACGGGTGCAGTTACATACATGCAGGCAGCATAATAATACACATAAAATAAAAATAAAATATTTTTAAAAAGGACTGTGGAAGAAAAGAACCCCCAAATCACACATTTAGTATGTAAACAAATGGACATTTAGAGAGACAAAAACTATTTTTTATTTTTGTTTAAAAATCCCTGAAAATAAAGAAATGAGAAATTTTGTATAAAGGCCCCAGACATTGTTAGAGTAAGTACAAGGCCCAATCATGAATGAGAACATTGGCAGTCTGGGGCCTTGGAAGCGACAGCAGAGAGTCTGGGTGGCAGGGAGGGCACAGAGCAGGTAGTAGGAGCCACTGGCCTGCAGGAAGGAGCATGGGCTCAGTCATCCCATTCATCATCCTCATCATCCTCACCAGCTTGGTCTTCCCCTTCATCTGGAGAAAGAAAGATGAAAAGTTTGACTCAGGATGGGTAGGTGGTTTCAAAGGCCCTGGGAGGGTTCCTAGGGCCTAGGAAGTAAAGACTCAGCCCTTACAGACTAAAGTTTTCTGCTAGAGGCATACTTTGTACAAAGAAGGATTATAGCTGCGGGTGGCTGTGCTCTAGTTGGAGTCAGTACATTATTAAAAATGTTGCTAATGAAGCTGCACTTGCTGGCGTATGCCTATAATTGAAGCAATCAGTAGGCTGAAGCAGAAAGATCATGAGTCTGCAAGCTGGGCTATGCATAGTGAGTTCTAGGCCAGCTTGGGCTACACTGTGAGACCCCCATCTTAAAATAACAAAAACAATGGGGGCTAGAGGGACGGCTCAGCGGTTAAGGGCTCTGGCTGCTTTTGCAGAGGACCTAGGTTCAATTCCCAGCATCCACATGGTGGCTAGCAACCATCTGTGGCTCCAGTTCCAGGGGATCCAATGCCCCCTTCTGACCTCTGTGGGCACTACATGACACAAGTATACTTCCATACATGCAGGCAATACACTCATACACTTAAAAAATAAATAAATAAAATATTAAAAAACAATGGGCCAGTAATATGACTCATCTCAGGACTAGAGAGATGACTCAATAGTTAAGAGCACTAGCTGTTCTTGCAGAAGACCTGGGTTCAAATCCCAGCATCTACATGGCAGCTAACAACCATCTGTAACTTCAGTTGTAACTCCAGTTCCAGGGGATGTGGTGCCCTCTTCTGACCTCCATGGGCACTGCATGACAGATACACTTACATACATACAGGCAAAACAGCCATACACATTAAATAAATAAATAAATAAATAAATAAAGTTAAAAATCTTAAAAAAAAAAAAAAAAGATGGCTCAGCTGGTGAAGGCACCTACCTCTAAGTCTAACAACTTGAGTTTGATCCCTGAGACCCACATGGAGAAAGGAGAGAACCGACTCCCACAGGTGGTCCTCTGATCTCTGCACATGGGTTCACACACATATATATGTACATAAAATAAACAAATAATGTAGAAATAAACAAGGCTAGGGATGTGGCTCAGTTGGTAGAATGCTTGCCTAGATTCTCAGTACCACATAAACTGGGAGTAGTAGTGCACACCTGTGATCCTAGCATTTGGGAAATGGAGGAAGGTGAAGCAGAGACTCAAGATTGTGTAGCCTAGGCTACATGAGACCCTGCCTCGAGCAACAACAACAACAACATGTAGTTATTCTGGATATTATCGTTATATAAAGGTTTAAAGGCAACCCCATGTCATTTAATAGGGCAAATTTAAATATTAGCCAAGGTTGGGTAATTTATTATTGTTTCATGGTGAATTAATGCTAATATTATTGATTTGCAATGAGGTTAATGAGAATATTGTCAAAAGATGATATCTGTTAAAATAGCATATCATGGATTCACATTAGTTTTCAGAACATATTCAGGTTAATAGGTTAAGATTAGTATTATCCTCACATAATGGCATAATGACAATATTATTGGCATGTCAAAGTGTTAACATTATTGTAAAAAGACTAGGTTATGATATTATCACATAATGAGTTAATGTGAATCTGTCAGTACTTGGATTTAATGGTAATATTATTGCCAGTTGTCATCACTGATGTGAATACCACTGAACATTCATGTTGTGGACATAACCTGACATATCACTGTCAAAGATACACTTAATATCACTGCTGGATGATGGCTTGATGTTAACATACTAAGTAGGACACCAACCTACTCAGGGTTTTGTTTATTCGTTTGTGTTTCTTTTCTTTTTTTTTTTTTTTGAGACAAGGTCTCACTATATAGCTTTAGCTGGCCTGGAACCCACAGATATCTACTTACCTCTGCTCCCAAGTGCTGGGATTAAACATATGTGCCACTACACATGCCTCTGCCCTGGTTTTTAAAAAATTTTTATTTATGTGTGTGAGTGAATGCATATTTATAAGTGCACCCATGTTGTGCAATGCCCACAGAGGTCAGAAGGCGGCGTTGGATCCCCTGGAACTGGAGTTACAGACCATTGTTAGCTACCATGTGGGTGCTGGGAACTGAACCGGTGAGCCATCTCTCCACTCCCTTTGCCCAGGTTTTTTTTGAGACAGGGTCTCCCTGTAGCCCCAGCTGTCCTGGAACTCAGGATGTAGACCAGGCTGGCCTTGAACTCACAGAGACCCGCCTGCCTCTGCCTCCCAAGTGCTGGGACTATGGGCATGTGCCACCACACCCGGCTGCCCAGGTTTTTAAGAAGAAAATTCATTTTAATACTGTCATTCACAGATGAGGTTTATATCACTTTGTTTTCAGTGCTGAGGATAGAACCTTGAGCTGCATTCCCAGCCCCTCTACAGTCACTGTTATTTTTCTGACTCAGGCTGGCCTTGAATTCTAGATCCTCCTTCCTCAACCTTTCAAGTTCTGGGATTACAGGCATGTACCTACCACCACATGGGCCTCTAGTGTAACTATGAATAGTGATATTTGGGGCTGTTTTCACACTCTGGGAGTCAAGGTGACAGTCCTGCAGGAATGGGCTCACCCGAGGAATGGATGACTCTGCTCCTCTTCTGCATCACATGCATCAGAGCACCCACCAGGCCCTCTGACCTCTGAGGTGGTGGCTGCTGCACTGAGCTCTCTATGGCTCCGGGGGTCTGAAACAAGAAATTTGGGCACAAAAGCCTGAGAACTGAGAACAGCATTTTTCATTTCTTCTCTCACCCACGCCAGTCCCTTTCATTCCGCCACCAACTTATCCCTGGATCCTCAAAGCCTGGCACTCCCACCAAAATGGCCTTGGCTCACAATATCTACATTTAAACAGATTCCCAATTACCCATCCTGAGCATCCTTACCTTATTCAGTTGAATTCCCTGCCGAATTTGATCTAAAAGTGCCCCTCTGCCGCCACCAGGTGCGAGGCTCCCTCCAGGTACCAGAGGTGGAATGAGTGGGGGAGTGGTTGGCCCACCCCCGGCGCTAGGTGGTGGCGGTGGTGGAGGTGGTGGTGGCGGCACTGGTGGTCCCCCAGCTCCAGGGGGTGGAGGAGGTGGTGGCCCAGAACGCCCAGTGGCTGGAGGAGGTGGTGGTGGAGGGCCCCCTCTGCCTGGGGGTGGAAGCCCCCGGGGTGTTGGTGGGGGCGGGCCCCCTCCCCCAGGTACAGGGGGCAGTGGACCAGACCGACCCTTGTTACTCCCCACGATAGGGGGCCGCAGGGGCTGGTTCCCTCCTCGGCATGGTGGTGGGGGTGGTGGAAGAGGCTCTGCACAGAGGGAAAATAATACATAGGTATGATTTTTGCTCATTTTCTTCTGAGCTTCACTTTTTATTTGTAAGCTAGGTACACCAACTGATCAACTCCTGATTCTAGATAGTTCCATGAAAACTGAGGGACTTAAGTGTATTTCTAGGGTAACAACTCCCAGGACCAGCGAAAAAGGGGCTCACCCTGGCGCCTCATCTCCTGCCGGACAGCCTCCAGCCCACCCTGGTCTTCAATGAAGTCATAGATAAGCTTGGAGGTCTCCGCATCGGTGAGCTGGGCCTCGCTGATTCCTGCCCTGGTGAATAGGCTCCGCAGATCTGGGTCTAGGTTGTTCACCTGCCCCAGTGGAAAAAGGACAGAGCAGGGTTGGAAAGAATTAAGTGAGGAGGGAAGAGGCACAGATTATCACTATATCCATGCCAAGAAGGGATCTGAGAGGGTGGTGGGAAAGGATGGGTCTGGGAGTGGGGTCTGAGCAGTAGTTTATAGGTGGAGGTTAAGTAGGATCCACAGATCTTTAGATCTACTCACGTCAAATCCATTTTGGGGATCCCAGCCCACGTGGCTGACATGTCTGCGGAAGATAAGGAGACTGGGTGAACCACCCACTGTACTTCCTCCCTAATGAAGCCCTCTTGCCCTCTCCTGCCCAGAGGGGCTCTGAGGAGCCAGAATAAGTGAACATATGTGAGCAGGAGCTGTGAAAGTAAAAAGGGTCTACAGTTTTTGGTGCCAGTTTGTCCACTTGTTCCTCTTTTTACCATCCATCCACTTATTCATGTGTCTACCTATTAGTTCACATTCATTTGTCATACCATTCATCCCTCCACCCATTTGCTCACACATAACTTTATCCACTTGTCCACTAATCTGTGACTTGTCCAGCCACCTGCTACTTAACACATGTGCTTACTTTTCCACCTATCCATCCTTCTTTACCCTCATAGTCCCCATCTCTGTCTTTCTTGTTTGTGGTTTGTTTTTTTTTGTTTTTGTTTTTTAAAGACACGGCCTCATGTAATCCAAGCTGGCCTCCAATTTGCTATGTAGTCAAAGTTGGCCTTGAACTCTTGATCTTCTTATCCCATGATTCCTGACAATCCA